AGCGACATCTAGGAGTCAGAAGAACCGGATATCTGGTTTACTTAGCCCCCTGAAACCACGCTGCCAACTTCATATTGGAGTATTTAACGTCAGGAACCTTTGTTAAATAGCACAACAGACATCACTAGCCAGAACTCTGGTATCTTGAGCCATGGATGTATGTTATGTTTCAAAGTCATGGATACAAGACCCAAGTATGGACATTGACTTAACTCCACTTGACCAATAGATTGAGTCTGATAAGTTCACCTTACGGATATCAGGACCTTCTCCGGTTAGTTTGTGAGGACTAACAGAGTACTAGGGCGAAAAAATCCCCATTAGACTGGATTCTAGTAGATGGTCGTATGTGTGCTTTCCATCGGAACGGATCCGTTGGGAGAAAGTCAGATTGCTAGATACGATCTCCGCTTAAGTCCCAAATGACTGTAAAACGGAGGAAAAACATGATGAGTTCTGTACTTTAATCGATAGGTTAAATATGGCTCCTATTTGACTTAAGTGGCAGGGAGTGTGTTTTTATCATGATACTTTTACTGGTAGTTAGTCACGAACACGGTGAAAAGTAACCTTCTGAGAGTGAATCGTACTCAGCAGTAGCCAAAACTAGTTAAAGTTTCTCAGAGAGCTAAGATGACAAAGTTAACCTTTGCTTATATGTATATATACATGTGAGGAAATCAATCGATGAAGTTGTGAATTTATTCCGACTGAGATGGTTAGGACATGTGTTACACACGCCTAGGCACATAAAAGATAAAGGATTCGAAAGAAGTATAAAAGACAGAAATGTGAGGGAGACAGAGAACTGAATACAGGGGTAACTAGTGGAATTTACTTCGCGTTATATTAACAATTGCAACTGTATCATAAATAATGGGAATCCACATGTATTGATTCAACACAATATGCAAGACGATTAATGAGGTGGTAGGTTTTGAATATGATGGTTGACACCAAATATGAAGGTATTATCTATTTCATTCGGTGTTAACAGCCAGTTTGATTCGTGCTCGACCTGCCTTAGGATATATCAAACGAGAGTTGTCATGGGACATAGTTAGGGTCTTTGAACAATTCAAGTTAACTGTACAGAATACATCTATTCCAGAAATTTTTGTGATGGATTCAACCAGTTGCGAGATATCTTGCAGTGCGTAATACGCGTCCCATTGAGACAACAGTCGTGAATTATTTGGACTTGTCCAATAGTAGAATAATGAGCGAATGTTGGTTATATGATAAAATGTTTCTTATGATAACCACTTCCCCATTTCGCTCATTATTTACCCAATATTATACCGTTTTGTGCATTACGTAGTCAAGCTACAATCCTCACCTGCACATCTTATGCTGGTCGGTCTTTCACTACAAAGGTGAGACGAAATGAATCTATGCGTCATACATTTAGACTGGGAATTGAATAGTCTATGTGTTACAGATCCACTTGGCAAGGTATTTCGCCGGTGTTGCAGATGGCTTTGGAAGGATCCCTCACTACAATGCAACGCTCTTGTATAGCAGAGCACTTAGGAAAGTTCGCAATGAGATAATAGAACTGAACTGACGATTCAATAGGCGAATTTCACTCATCTAAAGTACATATAATGACAAATACACTATTTACACACTGAGCCCAATGCTCAATTACTTCGAGACTTTTCACAATCTCAAAGAAATGATGTACATATTTATTGTATCAATGAATATGTGATTATACCTTAACTGATTCACTACATGAGCCCTCCATCTCAATTAAGTGGGTTAATGGAGAGGGTTTTATCGTGATAGTTTGACAGCAAGTTACGAATACTGTGAAGAGCAGCCTATTGAGAGCGAGTAGTACCCCTCAATGGCCGGAGGTGATGAGAGTAACCGATTACTCTGAAATCAGTTTGCAAATCTTCTGCATTCAACATAAAGACCGAAATTCGGATTTCCAAAACCAATGGGACAAGCTTAAGGGGAACACAGGAAATAGGACAAACTAGAAATGTGCTGTTGAAGACTGAAGTTGACCTGGAAAGCCAACGGAAAAGCCATTGTCATAATCAGTGTATAGAATGCATCTAAAGCCTAATAACCAAGTTATACAAATAAAAATCCAATGGAAAATAATTACTTATTTTGTAATTATTTATGTAATTAAATATACGTACATTCAATTCCGGAAAAGTATATTATACACCTAGATAGAAAACACGTGCATGCCGAAGAGATTTCACCATTGAAGAAAAGTCGTTCTTTTTGTTCATCAACAATCCCAAAGTGGAAACTAATCAGTATTCTAGGTGTCCTGAACTGGTAGCTAAATACCCCCACTAAAGACATAACCATATACAAACCAAAAAATGCTTAGGCGGTTGAGATTCCAAACACCAATATGCATCATTTACGTCATTAAAAGCCTGTCTACAAAACACACAGTCACATACAAAAGCTAGGCGAATTAAAATGCAAAATACGCTGGACCGAATATCAGTTGTTACTCGGTTTACCACGCACTTGATTGTTATTCTTGGTCATCTGAATTCCAGTATTTAGCAAAGTTAGCAGCTCTTCATGATAGTCTCGAGTCTGTGCGGAGTGATGTCAGTGAGATTCATGGTGGAGGCACTCACCTCTTGACATCAGTGTTGATATTCCGTGGTTGTTTGAGGCAATGAATAGTGTAATGAAGCTGTATCTGACCTTATCTATCGTGGCTGACTGACTTACGTTCTTGTTGGCTTTAAGATATTCATTCGTGGCATGTTTAGTTGGTGGAATGCCTCCTAGATAAGTGAGAAGCGTGACTTCTTCCAGATTTCTTCTTTCGTCACCCTTCTTTCGACTATTTCTGTATGACTGTCTTCCATTTTATGCAACGGTTGTGTAATTGCATTACTCACTTTATAGTGTGTTTTTTTACGGTCCTGCATGCAGCTTGTATAAATCTACCTTATAGGAGTCACTGCTTGATGACGTTGTAACAACAGAAGGCAAGACACAGAAGCCAAGGTACATTTTTCATTAATCAAACCGCTGTTTATATATCTACAGTTTATATCCGTTAACCATTCACCGAGCATTTGATTTGGGTTTACGTCAAACAATATGAAATACAATGTTCAAATAAACATAGTATTTTGTTGCTAATGCAGTCAGTATATAACCGTGGAAAATGTATTCTGTCTCTAACATCAAATGGAGCGTTCAAACAGATGTATCATATGCAGTATTGAACTGTGAGAATATGTGAGCATAATATTACGTTGACAGACATTGTCTGTATCACACCCTCACAATAGATCCATTTTCTTGTTTGTTTTACTCCTGTTGAATACAGATCGGAGACCGATGTGGGTTTATCTTGTGATAAAATGTACGTTCCATAACTGTTCTGTTTTTCCTCCTCTGATTCTCTTAATGAATTCTGCTAAACTCTTTTTACAGCTCTCAACCTATATGAAGGATCTGTCAGTATCCCATCCGTCACTTTCTGGGATTAATGGGAACTTATTTCAGCGGCAAGGGGGCTTATGTCGCGACCTATCACCTTAGGTGTTGTGATACCAGCACCAGTCAGGGTTTTTCAGTGAACGTGGTTTGGACTTAGATCGACCACGCGAGTTCCTGCGTTGAGGAGATTTAGGACGACGGTCGGAGGAGTTGGAAGACATGTTCGACCTAAACATCTGCTGGATGGAGTTGCACAACTCTATCATTGCAGGATCCTTACTCGAAGTCTGCTTAGTCATCGAGCATATTTCGGGAACAGACCGTTTGGTAATCTCCAGAATCCTATCTGAAGTAATAGCTAAGTCCTCTATTACAGTACCCTGAAGTGTCACAAGTACGGTCTGTACAGACTGTGGCGACTTGGATAAGAAGAGTTCTCTAAATAGTCCTTCGTCGAACTGACTTTGCCCAACAACTTCTTTCATTCTTGTCAGCATGCTCACGGCTGACTGATCTCCTAACTCGATGTTACGAAATAATTCGTCCAGACGTTGTCGGTCCGTGAGAACGTGAGAGTGTGCGTCTTCTGCTAGAAATCGAAGTGTCATATCCCGTGCTACAGCTGGCGAGCGGTTACCCATTGAACCAGGAACTCTTTTTGAGCACCAAATATGTATATGTATGCATTTTAGAATATCGTTAAGTAATATGTCTGTAAAAGTAACTATTTAATTAAAGAAATGAAACTGCTTTTTTCAAAGAATTATCATATGCCTTTTAAAAAAATATAATTGTGTGTTATGCCTCTAAATTTCCTCTCACTCTTACACTTTGTTGTAGAAAGTAAAAATAGTGCGAAAGTAGATTTGTGAATCATATGACAGACAGACGTGATCGTGCACGTTCTTATATCTGTTGAACTTTAATATAACTTATAGAGCGAACATACACATTTTACTGTTAGGTAATTATCTAAATTTCCGGTGTGTGCAATATTCAATCTTTTCATCTTATTTTATCCTAATTCTTCTTCTGGACATAATGTGAATCAGTCTGAAGTATTCTGAGCCTGTCGCTCTCACGCCTTGTCTGACAGTGTGTTGTTGGTAACATTTCAAGAAGATCGAAGTCCACCCGCCCTCACGCATATACCAGGTTGTTCGTGAGAGCCATGCTAGATGGATTCAATCACTCTCTATGAACCCTTAGATCCTCCATCAAGGTTTTTGTTATTCTGTGTACTGACTGATTGACTAGTTTCAACATAGATCTTTGCACCGATGTGCAGTAGTTGTGAGTCACCACACTTCACTTAGCACACAAAGTACAAGAAGAGAGTGAAAAGAAATGCAAAATAGAAACAGTAAATAGAGATATAAGTCAAAAAGAATAGTAATGTTGAGGATCGATATAGTTTTGTTGGATATTATAAGTCACAAGGAGTGGATACATCTGCGCCATTGTGTATACTACACTTATTCCTTCTCCCGTATATTTGTGTACTTTTGGTGAAGTTTGACAACTTGAATTGCCTCAAGTTCTACGTTGGTAGAATGTTAGTTAGTCAGTCAGTACCAACCATAGACTAACTGACTGACTGATTTTCAACACAAAAGCACACCTGTTCAACCTCCCATGCCTGTCTATATTAAGGCACACAAAGGTGGATAAATGAGGGAGAGAGTAAAGTGAAAAGCAGAAAGGCAGTGGACAACAACAGTTACCTGTTGGTTTAGTGGTTATGCAAGATCATGCAAAAAGAGAACGACAATTAGCTATAGCCCAGAGCCAATGAATTTGAACACTTTGAGAACACAGAATCAGTCAGGCTCTGTATATAGCATGTATATACTCGAATTGATGTCCCTCTTTTTCAATGTTTGTACGTATATGTATTTCAATTTAAACTTGATGTTGATTTCAAGTATTGTCCTAACTAAATTCACAATTTCTGTGTTTAATTTCTCCCATTTACCCATGGATCCGATCACTGTCTAGGTACTGGATTTGTCTGTCGAATGAACTATCAGCACCGTCAGTATAGCTCTACGAAATATGCAGCGTCTTCTTCTGCTTCCTATTTTTTATATTTTGTGTGTTATAATTAAAATTAAGTTGAAATGATGATTCGCAAATGTTGTATTCCTTTGTTTTTTGTACATTCAACTTTCCTTTCAACATTCCTAGGTTTCTATATGGTGTTCCCGTTTATTTGTACATGCATTAACCTTTTTGCCGTTTTAATCTATTTTTCATATTAACTACGATATCCATACGTATATGTACACATAAAAACTGTCTACGTTTAAATGGTTATGGAGTGGATAACAATAACAATTTCGCTTTATTCCAGAAACAGTACTTGTGGTACAGTGTGGAATTTTCAGCACATATCTACAATATTGCATCTAATTTCATCATGCATTTAAAAGGAGTATTATAAAAAAAAATAAAATATTTAAAAAAAAAAAAAAAACAAAAAAAGACAATAACAACAAAAAAACCAAAAAGAAACACAGAAATAACAAAAAAAATGCAATAAAAAATGCCAAGTAAAAAGGAAGATAAACACAAATAATGAAAAAATATTTCAGTATTGGTTAGTGGAAGCTACGATATGAGTATGCGTGGTGAACAGTAACAGCTATAATCATACGGGGAATTATGAGATGTTCTTAAAAAAATGTTTATAGCTAAGATGATCAGTTAATCTGATTGAACAACACTAAGCAATCATAAGATAAACATTTCAGGTTGTTTTTTTTTTTATTGTCAGCACTAATGCGGTTGTTTGTAGTGGTAGTGTGAGGAATCATGTATAATACAAAATTTTTTAAGATGTGGATAGTGGCAATAACAAACAAGATTGTCAGTTAAATAGTGCCGAACAAAGAACAACCACAAAACTAATGTTACATGATGGTTAATGACGGGACAATTTTTAATAATCATAGTGATAATACAGTCGGACCCAGTAGATGTATAAAGAAGGAATAGAATAAAGAATAAAAAAGTAAGCCAATGATAATAATTTTAAGCAGCTAAGTATGTTTAAGAAGGTTGTTCACTATAGAGTACAAATAAGAGAGTGTAAGGGGGAAATAACAAGGGCCAAAATTATGTTATTAACAACAAAGCAAGTCATAGGTTTCACGCCTAACATTGTCTCTGTCACTTAGAACACGGGCCAAATATGGTATCGTTGAGTTCCTATACTTGGTTGTACGAGCATATATTATTTTGTACTGATTTCTGGTTCTACCTGATGAGATGCAAGGAGAGAGTTGGGAATAGAGGGGGTGTTGGCAGTCAGAGAGTATGGTTTTAGACCATTTCTCACATGTATTCAGATGCTTATCCACTAATGTTGTGACGAGCTGACTGAGTTTTACACCGCTAGTCCTACTAACTACCTTCAACATCCTTCTCAGGATGGTATAATCCTTTTTCAGTAACCCAGGAAAGACTAACGGGGAACAGTAAAGTAGAATAGGTAGGATACGAGAGTTGACAAATTGTGAAAGCAGAGGTTGAGGGACTCCAGTTAGTCTGAGTTTCTTAATGTAGTAGGTTAGACGAAACACTTTCTTGGAAATCATTTGGATATGAGATGACCAAGTAAGGTCGGAAGATATAACTAATCCGAGGTATTTTGCATTAGACTTTGTTTCAATTATAGTCCCCTCAATTCTACAGACATCATGAGTGCTTACTAGTGTTTGTAGATCTCGTTTATGCCTAAAGGAGAAGTCGACAGTCTGGCATTTTGAGGGATTCAGCGTTAGGCCATTTATTTTAGACCACTGACTGATGTCCGACAGGAAGCTATTTAATTTGAAGCAGTCTGACTGAGACTTAACGGGAAGCGAAACAGTCAGGTCATCTGCATATTTGACGAAGTTGATTTCGTCTGAGAGAGGTAAGTCATGTAAGAAGAAGGAAAAGAGAAACGGCGAGAGAACAGCACCCTGAGGAACACCAGCTTCAGTAAGCAAAGGAGAGGAAGCTACACCATTATATACCGTGTACTGCATCCTATTGGAGAAGTAAGAGTGCAGCCAGTTGATAGCCCAGGACTCAGTTTGTGTAAGGCTAAGCTTGTTTAACAAAAGGCCTCTAGGTACAGAGTCAAAAGCAGATGTGTAATCAAGGAAAGTACAACGGACATACTTGGCCCCTTTGTCTAAGGAGGATACAATGTTGTGATGAAACACAGCAGCAGCATCCAAAGTACTTCTACCCTGTTTGTAAGCAAACTGCTTTGGATCGTTTGAGAAGCTTAGGGAGGGAATGAGTTTTTGTAACAGTAATTTCTCCATCAGTTTCAAAAAAGGAGAGGTAATGGCAATTGGTCTAAACTTAACACTATCTCCAGAACCAGACTTGGGTACAGGGATGATTTTAATATCTTTCCACAGAGAAGGTACACTATTATTAGAAAAAGAAGTATTGAAAATGCTTGTAAGTGGGTTACTTAAAATATCAGCACATTTCTTTAAAACAATGGCAGGTATACCATCGGGGCCTAGACTCTGGGAAGGTTTAAGAGATTTCAAACATTTAAGAACATCAGAAGTATTGAAACGATGAAAGTCACTGGTCGTGTTATTAGTTAAATTGAAGGCAGAAAGGACATTTGGAGGGCGGATGAAAGATCTATTGAGAGTATTTACATCAATAGAAGAGGCAAAATTATTATGCTTACCACAACCAGTAATTTCTCTAAAAAGTTTCCATATGTTTTCTGATGTTTTACAAGATAGTATTGTTTGATTATAAATGTTGTTTAGTCTCTTGATTTCAGATTTAATTTGGGTGTTTATCTTCTTAAGACCAGATTTATTCTTTGTCTTGTACAGCTTCTCTTTTTCTCTACGAAGTTTTTTGAGATGAGGGGAAGCGAAACGATCCATTCTTTTGAAAATTATCTGTTTTGGACAGCATATATCCAGACAGAATTTAAGATAGTCAGTCAAATTAGAAATAGTATCATCCAGTTTTAGTTCGTTGAAAAGTTCCCAATTAGTGTCATTTAGCATGCATCTTAGTTTGAGCATATTTTCTTGTGAGTATCAATCGTTATGTGCATGTATTGTATATATGTATATGTTAGCCGTTTTTATTTTTCTACCGAGTTTATAAACTGTTAACTATTTATACTGTATTAAATTGTTAAACATGTTAGTTAAGCTGTCAATTTGTTTTCTTCTAATAATCCGGCTGCTATTATTGTTAGTATCTCATCAAACTTGTGAGTGAGGTCTTAGTTGGATGTCGGGAATGTAGGCAGGTGTCGACTGTCGTCTGGCTAGCGTTTGCATTCCCACACGACTTAACAATGAGTACATGTAGTTGTAGTTCTTCTCCATGGTACATAGCGACATCTAGGAGTCAGAAGAACCGGATATCTGGTTTACTTAGCCCCCTGAAACCACGCTGCCAACTTCATATTGGAGTATTTAACGTCAGGAACCTTTGTTAAATAGCACAACAGACATCACTAGCCAGAACTCTGGTATCTTGAGCCATGGATGTATGTTATGTTTCAGAGTCACGGATACAAGACCCAAGTATGGACATTGACTTAACTCCACTTGACCAACAGATTGAGTCTGATAAGTTCACCTTACGGATATCAGGACCTTCTCCGGTTAGTTTGTGAGGACTAACAGAGTACTAGGGCGAAAAAATCCCCATTAGACTGGATTCTAGTAGATGGTCGTATGTGTGCTTTCCATCGGAACGGATCCGTTGGGAGAAAGTCAGATTGCTAGATACGATCTCCGCTTAAGTCCCAAATGACTGTAAAACGGAGGAAAAACAGGATGAGTTCTGTACTTTAATCGATAGGTTAAATATGGCTCCTATTTGACTTAAGTGGAGAGGGGGCAGGGAGTGTGTTTTTATCATGATACTTTTACTGGTAGTTAGTCACGAACACGGTGAAAAGTAACCTTCTGAGAGTGAATCGTACTCAGCAGTAGCCAAAACTAGTTAAAGTTTCTCAGAGAGCTAAGATGACAAAGTTAACCTTTGCTTATATGTATATATACATGTGAGGAAATCAATCGATGAAGTTGTGAATTTATTCCGACTGAGATGGTTAGGACATGTGTTACGCACGCCTAGGCACATAAAAGATAAAAGATTCGAAAGAAGTATAAAAGACAGAAATGTGAGGGAGACAGAGAACTGAATACAGGGGTAACTAGTGGAATTTACTTCGCGTTATATTAACAATTGCAACTGTATCATAAATAATGGGAATCCACATGTATTGATTCAACACAATATGCAAGACGATTAATGAGGTGGTAGGTTTTGAATATGATGGTTGACACCAAATATGAAGGTATTATCTATTTCATTCGGTGTTAACAGCCAGTTTGATTCGTGCTCGACCTGCCTTAGGATATATCAAACGAGAGTTGTCATGGGACATAGTTAGGGTCTTTGAACAATTCAAGTTAACTGTACAGAATACATCTATTCCAGAAATTTTTGTGATGGATTCAACCAGTTGCGAGATATCTTGCAGTGCGTAATACGCGTCCCATTGAGACAACAGTCGTGAATTATTTGGACTTGTCCAATAGTAGAATAATGAGCGAATGTTGGTTATATGATAAAATGTTTCTTATGATAACCACTTCCCCATTTCGCTCATTATTTACCCAATATTATACCGTTTTGTGCATTACGTAGTCAAGCTACAATCCTCACCTGCACATCTTATGCTGGTCGGTCTTTCACTACAAAGGTGAGACGAAATGAATCTATGCGTCATACATTTAGACTGGGAATTGAATAGTCTATGTGTTACAGATCCACTTGGCAAGGTATTTCGCCGGTGTTGCAGATGGCTTTGGAAGGATCCCTCACTACAATGCAACGCTCTTGTATAGCAGAGCACTTAGGAAAGTTCGCAATGAGATAATAGAACTGAACTGACGATTCAATAGGCGAATTTCACTCATCTAAAGTACATATAATGACAAATACACTATTTACACACTGAGCCCAATGCTCAATTACTTCGAGACTTTTCACAATCTCAAAGAAATGATGTACATATTTATTGTATCAATGAATATGTGATTATACCTTAACTGATTCACTACATGAGCCCTCCATCTCAATTAAGTGGGTTAATGGAGAGGGTTTTATCGTGATAGTTTGACAGCAAGTTACGAATACTGTGAAGAGCAGCCTATTGAGAGCGAGTAGTACCCCTCAATGGCCGGAGGTGATGAGAGTAACCGATTACTCTGAAATCAGTTTGCAAATCTTCTGCATTCAACATAAAGACCGAAAGCACCAGGACCAGATGGAATCCCAGCAGAAGCATTGAAAATGGACCCAGAGACAACAGCGGATTTGATGACGCCATTGCTGGAGAAAGTGAGGAAAGAAAGAGGGCAAATTACCTGAGGATTGGAAGAAAGGATACTTATTCAAACTACCAAAGAAAAGAGACTTAAGTCAATGCGAAAACTGGCGCGGAATCATGCTCCTGTCCATCCCAAGCAAAATACTAAGCCGAATCATTTTGGAGAGAATCAAACAAGCCAACCTGGATGAAAACCTTCGACCGGAACAGGCTGGATTCAGGAGAAACAAGTCATGTATTGATCAAATCGCCACACTACGGATCATCATTGAACAAAGCTTGGAATGGCTGTCAGTCACCTCTCTATCTCAACTTCATCGACTTTGAAAAGGCCTTCGACAGCGTCTATCGAGAGGTGGTTTGGCAATTACTTCGCTACTACGGGGTGCCATCGACAATTATACATCTCATCTCATGTATATTGTGCCAGGCTACTTCAGATACTATTTCTTCCTTAAATGGGGACTCAGAGTCTCGATCTAGCTGGGGACGTAACTGAATTGCTGCCGACAATTTCTTATGTCCGTTTAGTCGTAAGCATAAACGTGCGCGAGCCAGAGCGTGATCAATGTCTACGCACGTAATCCGGAAGGAGCGGCAGTCTTCTACTGACCCTCGGCAACAATACCCAATGGCTATGTGGTCTGCTTGAGTCCAGCGTTGATTCGGTGATGGAGGTCGCCGGGTTTCGCAGTGTCTCTCTTTGTCCCTAAAGTTAGTGCTGACTAGGAACAGATGATTATCTGAACAGAACGATAGAAGACGATCACCGTTTTCGGTTTGTCGGCAGGGAACTCAATACGTACCACCTATATGCTTCTCAGTCTGACACAATTTCCATACTTGGGCATTGAAGTCGCCTGGCAAAAAAACTATATCTGAACGCTTTGCTTTTTGCGGCAAATTAGACAGCTTCTAGTGGAAATCATCCTTTAGTTCATCCGAACTGCAGTCTGTTGGGGGCGTAAGCGAAGACTATGAAAAGACAACGATGGGTAACGCGGTCCTTCCTTCTTCTGACGGACGCGTCCACACGCACCGCACAGACACAACCAACTACTGGGATCCAGTCAAGAAGTGACTTTTCTGCCCTAACACTCAGTGCTATCCCTACACCTGCGAGTCCTCACAAACTAGCTGAAAAATGTCCTGACATCCGAAAGGTGAATTTTTCAGATTCAGTCTGTGGGACAAGTGAACAACCACACCCGGGACTAGTATAGTTGTCTTCGAAACAAAACATGCATACATGACTCGACATGCCAGAGCTCTGACTAGAGATGCCTGTTGTAAAATTTAGCAACGATTCCTGACGTTAAATGCTCCAATATGAAGTTCATACAGTAAGACACGTGATGAATTACATCTACTGTAATAACATTGATTTAAAGCAAAGTGTCTACGCTTCATAGCCACAGAAGACACCAAATCACTAGCTATTCACCTAATAGCGTCGTCAAAGGTTTCCCAATTGTTTACTGTTAATTTCTACACTAGCAGGTTTTACTAATGTTAGGGGAACACAATCGCCGCATCACAACAGAAGAAAAGCAGACTGATTAGAAGTGTTTATCATACAAAATTTAGATTTTAGTTGTACAGATAATTCTGATGACTAATCCTTTGTTATTTGTCAGTACGTTTTATCTGCACACACAAAACACATATATATTTCTCCAAAGCGGTCCGAAAAGTTTCAAGAAAAGCACCATTAAGTTGGGTAGCACATGTATGATCTGAATAAATAATTTTTAAAGTTATTCAGATGATTGCTCGACCACAAGTAAACTTTTTACAAACAACACATTTACAGATAGCTAAACAGTTTTAATTAAACTTTAGGGGCTTCACAGTCTACCCAGCTGGTCGACATCTAACAAATCCATGGAAGCATCGTGAAATGATAACATTATTCAGTAATAAGTTATGCAGTAATTCACAAAGCTTGAATAGTTATGTTCACACTAATAATAACGGCTTCATGACAAGTAATAACAATAGTAATAATAATAGGTATTATTATTATCACAACGAATTCATTATAACCTTGGATAGACGGCTACTAGTAATACAATCATATCAATAAGATTTACTAATTAATTTTATGAAGCAAGTGTTTACTGATCTGGTAGACTAATTGATTCTACCTGAACTCAAGATTAGATATGAAAGAGAATGGAGACCTGGTATATTCCAACTAAAAACATGAAACCTACATGTATTACACTACTCACTGTGATCTTTGATACCGGCCTTCCGATTTTCGAAAAACAACAGATTATACATAGATACTTATATGCTGCATCAAATATATTGTTCTCATCACGATTAACCTAACTGTTGAATATTTAATACTGATATAAGATTCGCTGAAAATAATAATCAAGAGATAATTGAAGTTGCATAAAGTTATCACCTCTACAAAACGTTGGATGAGTTTCGACACTCTTGCCATCTCCTTAGACTTTGGTGCCAAAAGAATTCACTGAATTCAGTAAATATATATGGTGACACTAAAGAATAGCGGCCCAAACCGAAACGACCTTTTAACGCAAAAATGACCTTGACAGGGACAACTTCGGCCAATGAGAAGACTCAAAAGGAAGGCGCATAATTGTAAAAAACGGTTTATATAAAAGTAATGCAATCATAATAAACAGTTACAAAGGATGGCGCTCGCGTATATATCTCAAAAAACCTCCCAGTTTCTCATGGGAGTCTTCATAGTCGTATGAAACCAGTTTCGGTATATAAATTCATCCAGGTAACTGTAAATCATGGTATTTCTCGATCCATTAACCGCTCTTATACGTCTTTTTAGACGACTCCTAAAACTTTCAATGGAACTGGTGTGGGTTCCATCTAAAGGATTCCGGAAACCGTCCGTATGATTAACAACATGATGAATGTACCCATGATTCGATAATTGACGGTATCCGCTCCATTCATTTGTATGAATAGTCGTCCCCGGCAACACCAAACGCTTAATAATAGGCACTAATACTGCTGCACTGCGACTGGGAATCGCTTCTATATACCCTTTGCGCAGTGTCGTGTCGTAGATACCCAGTATCCACCACTGGTTTGCTTGTAATCTCCCACGGTTGTATTTCCTTTTTATAAGTACAGTCTCATCGATATGGACTATGCTGCCGACTCCTCCGAAAACTTGAGTCAGGGTGTTCATTTTCCAGGAGGAAACATCTCTGCAGTAGTTGTACCATTGCACTTCTGACACCTCTGAATTTTCTGTTTCATAAGCTGTAGCTGTGACTGCTCTTTTCAGGACCCAGAAGTTACAGATCATTAAAATTTTCGTCAAAGGTAGTTTAGACCTTGAGAGAAAAGTTCCTAAGGGATCTGTTAACTAACAAAACAACGACAAACCTTCTCGAACCGATTTCTTCCTTTGGCACTCAATACATCTGTATACAAAGCCATCAATGGCTTCTTTCTATTTTTGTATATGCATAACTCCTCCGCATTGACATGATTACTTACGAAAATGATACAGTCAGCTGATTACTTCCTCAAGGTCACTTTTTGTTCGAAGGTCGTTTCGGTTTGCGCCGATGTACTTTAGAGACACCAATATATTCACTGTGCTGTAATACAGTATGTATTGTCAGTTATGTAACTGACCGAACAAATAAAGTGTTCCTGGGAAATGGGATCTGCACCGAACACCCAAATAATGCTTGAAATTAACGCAACGCCAATGAGAAACCGACCGGTCACAAGCAGAACTGTCACTTTGCGAAATCCCCAAAAATAAACTTATCCAATTTCTACTACTATGTAAGAAATGAACATATTTACATTATTGTTTTAACCATAAACTCTGTACTTTGAACTTTACCTCGGGTTTTGAATGAAAATATAGTTCTACCTCCGACTCTCCGTCTTCTCCACCATCCCAATTGCCACCGATCAATTTTAATCACCTGCTTTCTATCTCAAATTTTTGCAGGAGCACCGTACTTTGGTCGACCTCCGGCAACGTCAACATTGGAGAAAAAGTACTGAAGCAGTCTTCCCGCAGCGCCTCTGGAGTCTACTACGTTTATTGTGGATTTTGGATCTTTGTAAACCTAAGTAACGAAACATTAATATATTCTTCCCGTAACTAGACTGTTTTGGTATTTTATTTTCTATTTGAATTTGGGTAACTAAGCTAACAGAGTAAAAGGTTCGCCACAATAATTGGTGAGCCCGTTTCGAACCATTTTTTTCGATGGTTAACCCGTTTTTCGGACCTTTTTGTTTCGATAGTTAACTCGTTTTGAACATTTTTGTTGCTATTTTGGCCTTATAAACTCGCATTGCTTTAATTTTTGTTACCACAAGTTTTCCTATTTTGTATATCTCTATACTTAAATATTTTTTGACAATGGCTCCACCTAAACGTACCACTGTTACTGAAGAAGGTAATAAAGGCGAAGGGACACAGAACTCTGCTGTTAACGCCTTGCCGGATTTAAGACTACCTCAATTTGATCTGGCTGAACCACGTGTCTGGTTCACAACCATTGAACAGTTGTTTGCAGCTCGAGGTATTACGTCGCAGATTGCCATGTATGGTTGCGTATTAGCAGCAATACCCACGGAAGTACTACGAGGGGTTATCGATGTCATAGACAGCAAACCTACAGACTCTCAATATGACAAACTAAAAGCTGCACTCATCCAGCGGTCCACCCTCTCCGATGAGAAACGCATATAACAACTACTTACTTCGTGTGATCTAGGTACAAAAAAGCCATCTCAACTACTTAGACATATGCGCCAGTTGATTGGGTCACACAGAGTAGATGAGTTAATTCTACGTCAGATGTTCTTACAACGTTTACCACAAAACGTTCAACAAATCCTAACAATATCTTCTAGGACGACAGACCTTGAAGAATTAGCTAAGATGGCAGACGATATCATGGATGTGTTATCAAATAATGGCATAAATAGCGTGTCTACAGAGGCAGTACCACCAAGCCCTTCCACATCTATGAAGGACGCGCCAATGTTTTGGTTACTTTCCCAGTTAACATCTCAAATGCAAGACTTACGACTGGAAGTGTCCGAGCTTCGAGCACAAAGGAACCAGTCACATACGGTATCCAAGCAACGGCGATCAAGATCTAGACGACGTTCTAGAACACCGTCTCAAAGCCGTAACATTTGTTGGTATCATAGGAGGTATGGGCATAATGCCCTGAAGTGTGTTCGACCGTGCATGTACAACAGTGGTAACTCAACTCAGGGAAACTCCCCAGCCAGACAGTAATGGCGACGGCTGTTACTGGCAATCACCCCAGTCGCCTTTTCTATGTGAGGGATTTGACTACCGGCACATTATTCCTGGTAGATACAGGCGCCGAGGTCAGTGTTATTCCCCCCTCACTATCCAGGCGATCAGCCAAAATACTGGGGAAACTTTCACTCCGTGCTGCCAACCAAACCAACATACAGACGTATGGCGAACAGTCAATGATTTTAAACTTAGGACTACGCCGACGTTTCACATGGATCTTCATAGTAGCTGACGTACGTCACGCTATACTAGGTGCAGACTTCCTAAGTCATTTCAATCTGTTAGTTGATATCAGCAAGAAAAAACTGATTGACAATTGCACACAACTCAAGATCCACGGTATTACATGTGATTACTCTGTTCATAGTATTTGCATAGAAAAGCCGGAGAGTGAAATGTTCCCTACTTTATTACAACGATTTCCTAAAATCCTTAAACCGTCATACAACGTCGAAGATATATCTCATACAGTTACGCATAAGATCATCACAACAGGACAACCTGTGAAGGCACGTCCACGACGGTTACCACCCGATAAACTAGCAGCAGCTAAGTCGGAATTCGAACATATGATGCAGCTAGGCATCATACGACCATCTAACAGTCCATGGTCTTCACCTTTGCATATGGTACCTAAAACTAATCACGACTGGCGACCATGTGGAGATTATCGCGCTTTGAATAACGCTACGGTCCCAGACCGTTATCCTATACCCCATCTCCACGACTTCTCCTTGACGTTACATGGAAAGACCATTTTTACTAAAGTTGACTTGGTCAGGGCATATCATCAAATACCAGTCGCTCCAGAAGACATTGCAAAAACAGCAATTATTACGCCTTTTGGATTATTCGAATTCTTGAGAATGCCTTTCGGACTAAAGAATGCGCTCAAACATTTCAGCGTTTTATGGACCAAGTTACCCAAGGTCTTGATTTCGTCTTTGTATATATCGACGATGTCTTAGTAGCCAGCTCATCGATGGAAGAACATATGCAACACTTAAGCTTGTTATTTCAAAGGTTTGAACAATTTGGAGTTGTTATCAATCCAAAGAAATGTATTTTTGGTTCCCCTTCCATTGAATTCTTAGGACATCGAATAACTGCCGAAGGCATCAGACCTACCGAAAATAAGATAAAAACTATTAAGAACTTTCCCGAACCTGATTCCTTAAAGAAACTTAGACGTTTTCTCGGGATGTTCAACTTCTACCGACGTTTTATTCCATCATGTGCCTCCATAGTTCAGCCACTGACCGACCTACTTAGATGCAATTCGAAGAAATTTCAGTGGTCTGAAGAAGCAAAAGCAGCATTTAATAATGCAAAAGATGCCTTATCCAACGTTGTAATGTTATCTCATATCAACCCAGAAGCTTCACTCACTCTATGTACAGATGCATCGCAGGTAGCAGTGGGAGCAGTTTTACAACAAAAGTTCAATAATGACATCACTCCACTTGCTTTCTTCTCCAAAAAGTTGGAACCTGCGCAAACTCGTTACAGCACTTTTGGCAGAGAACTGTTAGCCATTTACCTAGCAGTTAAACATTTCAGCTTCCCACTACAAGGTCGACATTTTACTATCTTAACCGACCATAAGCCTCTTTGTTATGCTTTCGCCACTTCGTTGGACAGACACTCTCCGAGAGAAGCCAGACAACTGGATTACATATCACAATTCTCAACAGACATCCAGTTCATCAAAGGAGATTCCAATATCGTAGCCGATTCTTTGTCTCGATGTGACGTTAATCACCTTCTATCTTCGATAGATATTAGCTTAGACAATATAGCCAAGCTGCAGAAAAATGACGCCGAACTCCATACTTGTAGACGAAACTCCTCCCTACAGTTGCAGGATGTACCTATTCCCCTGTCTGATACAACTGTCGTCTGCGACGTTTCAACTGGCGTTCATAGACCTTTTGTTCCACTAATTTGTCGAAAACCTTTGTTTGAACATCTACATTCCTTGTCTCATCCTGGAGTGCGTGCTACGGTCAAGTTGATCAGCGAGCGTTTTGTTTGGCCCAAGATGAACTCCGATATTCGGAAATGGGCCCGCCAATGCTTGCAATTTCAAAGATCCAACGTACATCATCATACCGTCACACCTCCAAAACAGTTCAATTTACCGGATGGACGATTTCAACACGTGCATATAGATAATAAATAATAAATAAATTTATTCTCATGATGCAACACATGAGGGACGCCAGTTTACAGGCATCATCAAATTGTTACAGAAATAGGACCATATTATTCAGTCACAGTTTACAGTCGATAGCAAAACATGTTTAACATGTACACTGGAGATTATACATACACTTGATAAGTGTTAATCCCAATAGTATAAAACATCCTTTTCACTTATGTACAATCGTTTCTGTGCATAGTTGGAAAAATCCGCTAGATTTTCAGTGAGTGCAACACATCAGGAAATACAGAGGTATTGTCTTCGCATTAACAAAAAAACGAGGTCTTTGGTGGATGGGTTATAAGTGCCTGGGAAAAAAAATAAAGCTTGAAGTCAGTTTTCATACATAATTTTACTGTGTACAGAATTCTCGAATTATAGTTCATTGTTGTGTTATTTGGAAATCAGAGAAATGTTTATTTCATTTAAATAAATAAATAGATTGATTCTCATGATGCAACACATGTGGGACGCCAGTTTACAGGTATCATCAAATTCTTACAGAAATAGGACCATATTATTCAGTCACAATTTACAGTCGATAGCAAAATATGTTTAACATATTTTTGGACCATTACTGCCATCCGGAGGGTTTACTCATATACTTACTGCTATTGATCGATTTACCCTATGGGCTATTGCTTGTCTGCTCAAAGACATATCCGCAGAAAATACCGCTTTGGTTTTCTTAGATCGTTGGGTGTCAAACTATGGAGTACCAACAACTATTACAACAGACCGAGGAGCTCAATTTCAATCAACTCTGTTTCGAGAGTTTACGAGACTCCTTGGGGTGAACCATATCTCCACTACTGCTTATCATCCTGCAGCGAATGGTCTGGTGGAACGTTTCCATCGACAACTGAATAGCTCGCTCATGGCACAAGCTGACTCATCTAAGTGGAGTGAACACCTACCATTGGTTCTTCTCAGTATCCGATCAACTGTAAAAGAAGATTTGGGATGTACACCATCTCAACTTGTGTATGGTACTACCCTCACATTGCCTGGTCAGTTAGTTCCGTCTAATGATTCAACTGATGTAAATATTTTCGACTTCACCAACCGCCTTACCCAGCAGATGCTTCAGCTTCGACCAGTAGCCGCTCGCCAATCACTTCAGAAAGCTCAAGTTAACAAGAGTCTGCTCACTTGCAAATTTGTATTTGTTCGCGTCGATGCCATTAGAAAAGGTTTACAGCATCCATATGAAG